AGAAAACAAAATTATGCTAAACACAAGATATTTGCCAAATCATAATTGACTCAAAAATATGGGATTCAGATGATAATAATTCAAGAATGATATCATATAACACTATAATAATAATAATAATAATAATAATAATAATAATAATAATAATAATAATAATAATTAAAAAGATGCAGTAGAAAACAATTATTTATATCAAAGGGTATTTGACCTAGCGGTATCATAATCTTTTACTTTATAGGAAGTCAGGGGTTTAAACTTCACCAAAGTTGAGAAGGATATGTGAGTTTATTTGTTGTATTTACCGTATATAAATATTATATATTCTAAAAAAAAGAATTATTTATGATGTTCTATTTTTTGATAAACAAATTATAAGATTTTTATTTGATGAGGGTGGTTTTTTTGTAAGTGCGACAAGAATATATGAAAAGGAAGATTTATTTATTATGGTGGTTCGATTCCACTGTGAATTATTCTACAAATTAAAAAAAGGAAAAGTTAAATGGAAACAATAATTGATATATTTATTAAATATTTATAATGATTTAAACAGTGGCAAATTCAGGAAATTAATGGGGTGGGGCACGTTGGATGGGACTTGAGGAAGAGAAGCATATGAGACTGTGGGAAAACCATGTAAGACGAAGATAGAAATATAAAATTTAAGCTAGTCAACAAAGGTTTTTGGTTTTTGACTGGGGTCTTTCCCCCCGGTGCTTAAAGGTTGGATTCCCCCTTGGGTTTAAGATAACTCAACTGAATAATATTGAAATACATATAATAAATATCGCAAAATGTTTGCTAAAGACGGAAAATTACTAAACTTTCAAAGACCAATCTCGATGTTATTTTCGAATATTAAATACCGTTTTTTGAATATTAAATTACGTGGTGGTAGGTTTGCGGTTTGAAGGTGGGAATCGAGGGGGTAAGGGATTTTCTCTGCTCGATGATGGAGATCATGAGTCATATGAAAGAGTTCGGTAAGATTAAGGTGGAGGTGTAAAACTGAAAGGTGTTTAGGTTTTATGAAACATTCATGTTTTTTATTTGGTTTTTTGATTTAGAATACATGGGTTTTGTAATTTGAGTATTTTGAATTAATTTTCATGGGTTTGTAATTTGAGTTTTTCGAACGAATTTCCATACATTCTTTATTTTAATTTACCATTTACGTTTTATGATTCTCACATCTTATCATTATTAAATCACATTTGACTCCGTTGGATATGCCCATTTGTACGTGAATTGCTTGGCACAACTGACTTTGTTGCGCTTTTACAATCACTTTTAGCACCCTACAAGGCTTAGACAAGCTTTTACGGTAAATCTACCAACCCAACAGACTTATTTGTCTGCTAACTCTTGACCAGAGCAGACCATGTCTCATTGCAATCCAATGACACTCCTCATCTCACTCCCATCATGTGAGTCAACGACACGTCACACATATCATCATGTCTCAGTAAGACCCATGTTCATGCATTAGAAAAATAAACATATATCATGAATCGTATATTTATAATAAAAACATTTAATTACATGCAACACGAAAATTGGACATGGACCTTACAACCCTTGATTATCGATATTAGAATGTCATTCTCAAGCTTAACGAAATCCCTACAAGTCCACAATGACAACTTTCATATATACATCGTATTTTAAATACTTAATATATTTAAAATTAGTTACCTAGTATATCAATTACCTAATATACATTGTATTTGAAATACGTTTGTGAATCAAAGTGTATCATAATGATAACATTCACAATGTATTTTCTTTGTTTTATGAAATGTAACATAGTATGCATTTTCGTTATTTTCATTGTTTTACAAAGGGTATCACATTATGCATCTTGTATATATATTTGTGTATCAGTTAATATCGTTTGTAGGTATCATAGTGCATATCTTGTGTTCACATAGAGTTCATCAGAATAAGGTTAACCGAATAAAATTCATCAGAGAGAAGAAAGAGGATATTTATAAAATCTCTAAAATACCCTTAATTAATATTTTAAGTTAAAATTATCAAAATTATTAATTTTTTAATTAAAAACTTTGATTTGTGATTGAAATTAGATTTCATAATTATCACAAATAAAACAGTTGTCATTTGAATATATATATATATATATAATTAAATAAGAAATGATAACAAAAGATTATACTTTAATTATTTTTAAATATTAATTATTTGTTTTTAAGTGGCAAAGCTGGTTTGAAATCATTTGAACAAATGGGTAGTGATTGGTACTCGATGCACAAACATTTCCAAAACAAAACAAAATGAAGACGAAAATTAGTGAATTATTGAATCATTATTTTAATACCATGTGTAATAAAAAAAAATTATTCCAATTTTTTGTTTTTATTTACAATTTATTTATTTATTTATATTATAATATTGGTCATGTTTTTTGCTCATGTGAAATATTATAATTTGATTGGCACGTCTTTTTATCATTTGTGTCATGTGATATACCATGTATGTATCCCTTTAAGTGTTGAACTATTGGTTAATTTGAATTTTAAATTATTAAATTCGAATTTTATTCGATGATAAATAATATAAGTCTATTAAAAATATCAGAATTGACAGAAATAAAAAATACGACACAAACGTTGACTAAACTCGTAACAAAAGACAATTGATCTTCTTGCTCGTTGCTTTTTGTTGATTAGATCTTGTATTGTAGCAATAATAGTACGTTGGTACAAGTTATCATTTAAGTTGTTAACGAATGCCCAGATTTCAACTTTAATGTTCATCAAAAATCGACTTGCGTCCTAGCTTCCATGGTTGCTAAGCTCGAGTCATAATAAAAATTGAGAATTTTTTTGATTAAGGTACGTTTGTTTTTTGAGAGGTGTCGAAGTCTGATTTCACTTCTGATTTATAAGAGGTGGTCCACTACGTGTTGATGGCTGTTGCTCACCGTTATTCGATGAGTGATTTCCGTGTATGCGCCCTGCCCAGAGCTACCCTGAAAGAAAGTTCAATAAAAATGTTGAAGTCTGAAATCTGTATCAGTAAGATTGTTTGTTTTTATGTCTAAAGTTCGAAATATGAAATGGTCAAACTAGTGCAAAAATATAAAAGAAAAATAATTGTTTACAAAAGTATAAAAGATGAATAGTTTTTGCTAACAAATCTCTTTCAGCCCCCAAAATATGAACCATGTGATAGAAAACGGATTAGGATGAAGAGGTATTAAGGGATACCTTTACCACTTAAAATTTCTATAAGATTTTAGAGCTTTTAAGATCTTGTTTAAAAAATAAAACAAACGCTCTTAATACCCAAACGTCTGAACGAATCAGACTTCAGAAGTATTAAGAAGTAATTTTGAAAAAACAAACAGGGCCTAAATGAATTTATTAAATAGTTAAATATATTGTAAGTATTTACATAACATTGCAAGAAAAGCTTTCAATTCCTCAACCATTGAATATGAATTTGTATCCTTAACCTTCGACACAGACATATTTTTAAACAACTACACTAAGCGTCTTATAATAATAAAATTTTCCTACTTTATTAAATCCACATGCGAATTTAGCATTTTGTAATAAACATATAAAGAACACCATTCATGCATGACTCGTGTAGCATAAAAGTACAACCACCATTGACACATGGTCAGATAGTGGCATAACTCGCTCCCCTTGTTAGAGGATTGGGACCGATATCACGACCATGTGGAATAATGCTCATCCCACGGTTCTCAATCCATTCCACTGAATAATACAGTCAAAAACTCAAAAGAATCAGTTTTATCTCATTTTCATAAATTATTTTTATTGATTTTTTATTAGTTTCAAAACTTATTTTTAATTACTAAAATGAATTTATTAAAAAGAAATAAAATAATAGAATAGAAGATAATTTAGGTGATGGGTCAATTTAAGGAACAGAAAATATAATAACGTTATGCAGCCAATGTTGCACTAAAATATAATAAACAAATCAATCATCAACATACTAAACGACATCCACTAATAGTTCCTACTAATGCTCATTTTTGCCTTTTTTTAATTCATATTTTTTAAAATCGTCAACAATTATATATAATAATACAGTTTTTGAACTGTGGATATTTGAATCAGATTATACATGTTTTAGGGGTTGTTTGTTTACCTCTTGATAGTTCTATTAAGAGGCAACCTTTGAATCGTTAGGAAATGAATCTTGTTTGGAAAAAAAAAATATGCCTCTTAATGGTTCTAAAACCTTCTAAATGATTTTGTATCATCTGCCTCCTTTAACCATTAAGAGCCCTAATTTCATTGTAAAGAATTACCAAACAATTATATTTCATTTTGCATTATATCATGAGAAGTCTCTTAATCATTCTAACCACTTAATGATTCTACACAAAAACATTCAACAACTGTCAAACAATCCCTCAATTAATCTCAAATGAATGGAAAACTAGTAGAAGAATCCCCAGTAGTTTTACGAAACTCGAACTGTTGATAGTTCTCTCCAAAAGAGTCCATAATGAGAAAATGAACGTTCCAACATATATAGTAGAGAAGTTGTCCAACTTTAGACGATGTGGGACTCTGACAGAGGTTAGATGGATAAAGATGTTGCATAGCGTCTAGAGGGGTTAGGCGGGAATAAAAGTCCTAGAGTACCAAGTCCCGGGTAAAGATGTCCCATACGATAGATATATCAACTCTGATAACATGTATAGACAACAATATTACTCTTCGAAAAATCTCTTAAGAAGAAAATAGAAGTTCCAACACATATAAAAGAAGATTTTCAAATTCTAACTGATGTAAGACTTTAACAATCCCACAATGTTTGATGCATATATATATATATATTCAGATTTGCTACCAATCTGATTATCTTTTGTCCTGTAATATGTTGTAACCAATATGGCATTACGCTGTGTGTATCGATTGTCTCAAAATCCCAAAGCACCAATCAATCAAAAAAATACGAACTAAACGTAACATATCAGAACAGAACGACACACATATTTAATCATTTTTTCATTTTATGCTTCTCATATTTCTTAGAAAACAAAGTAGTCGTTACAATATTAAAAAAACAAAAAAAAATGAAAATGATGTAAGCGAATAGAATATCGAAATTTTCTACAGTTCGAACAATCGGTTCACTTTTGCACCCGACCCGGTTCAAACCAGAATGGCTTTGTACTTCTTTAATCAGCAACAGCCCAAGTCATATCATTCTCAAAGATCCAATGGCAAACCTCAATCTTCCCAGGCTTCGACCCGAGTGAAAGAAAGGCTCCATGGGTCGGACTCCAAGCTGACGTGTCGAGGTGACAGATGGCAACCCCATGGTTAATCTTCTTGGAATTGGTAGTACTCGGGTCAAGTAGGTCCGCTTCGTAGACCCGAACCTTGGGAACCGAATGACAATAGTAAAGCATATAAGGAAACAGACTCTGATGACAAGATACAGATTTTGTAACTTTACCGCCGTTAATTTTCGTTACCGACCCGATCTTGACTTTCTTACCCGACCCGTTTATGTTGTCGGTTGTCCGAACGACGACGTCTCGTCCAAGAACCGATGTAGCGAAATCGATCATGTCTTCAACCGATCCGACACACCGTTTTGACTCACCTTGACTCGGTTTCCGTTCGCACTCGCTCAGTGAGTTGGAGATTAAACTCGCCATGCTCGAGTTATCCTCAGCGTGGAAAATCTTCTTTAAATCGTCGATTTTGGAGGACGAAAATGGTAATTTCGACACAATGACCCGGGGCAAAAATGACCTTTTAGGCATTTTATCACGGATGTCCGGCATCGGAATTATCGTGCCGGATTTCAACAAACTCTCCCGGAAAAATTTTCCCGGCTCAATCCACTTATTTACCGGTTTGCCACTCGCCGGCGATTTCGTCTTCATCGCCGCCAGTTGCGCCGCCGTGGGCTTGGTGGCGTAGGTAGAAAAAGAAGCCCTCTTCTTATCGGCGTAATCTTTGAAAGTATTGTTTACACCGTACCCTTTGAACCCAAATTTCTGATTCGTGACGGTGCCTCCGCCGTAGCCGGAAAATGTATCGGTGCCTTCGTTGAACGATTTGCCGTAATTAGAAAACTTCATGTTGGCGGCGTTGGAACTTTTGGCGTACGATTTGAAATTATCATCGCCGACGTTGGATTGATCTCTGTAATTCGCGAATGTATCGACGGCGGCATTCCCGCCGTCGGCGTAACTCTTGAAATTGTTCTGTGGAACGTTGCCGTTTTCGCCATAGGAAGTGAACGAATCGTTTGCGCCGTTTCCGTTCTCGCCGTAGCCGGAAAACGATGAGCCGATGACGTTGGAGTTATTTCCGTACCCTTTGAAGTCATTGACGGCGCCGTTTCCTTTTTTTCCGTAGCTAGTGAACGACTGATCGCCGGCGTTTGCGTCTTGGGAGTACGATGTGAACTTCTGGTCACGGCCATTGACGTCGTCGGAATATGACGAAAATCTCATGTTGGGTACATTGACATCTTCGGCGTAGCCGGTGAAATCTCCGGTTCCGCCGGTGGCTTTTGTGCCGTAGGTATTGAAACTTTGGTCAGGGACGTTTGTATTCTTGGCATAAGTGGAAAATTTATCGTCGTGACCCACTGAGTCACGGGAATATCGTCGGAATGAGTCAAGAGCCGAGTTGCCATCATTGGAGTAATTTTTGAACGAGTCTAATCCACCGAGTCGACCCGACCCGTAGTTGGTGAAGTTTTTCTCCGAGTACTCGATGAAGTTAACATCGCCGGAATGTTTCTCGAGACTGGGGCCCACATCGGGAAAACAAAGGAGGTTCGCAGCGGAGCAGAACGACGGGAGGTTGGTGGCGAGAGAGTTCTGGTCATCAGCGAGTTTTGAAAAGGCGGCCGACTGGACGGCGGTTAACGGCGAAGCTTTTTCGATTAAGAATGAGGGTTTGGGTTTATCGTTGGAGATCTGTTTCCTCCAGTAACGGATTATATAGCCTCTGGGAGTAAATGGATCTTCTGGTTTTCCGGCGAAAACGAGAACCTGCAAAAAAAAGGATGGATTTGAGAAATGCAGGTTTGAAAAATTAAAGAAAGTGATGATGAAAACAATGTGGGTGTGGATTGAATTGGGGAAGAACTTACATTGATTGATGAGAAGATGAGAATCAAGAAGGGGATGAAGTTCTTGAATTTGTGCATTTTGCAAGTGTGAGGATGATGATGGATTTGGTTTTTGGTTGGAGGTGAGAGTTTTATAGTGTGATTTCTTTTAAAAAGAAATTTCAAAATAAAATATTGCTCCCTCCTACGATTGTATTTAATTTTTTTGATGGAAAATAAATTAAAATTACATCATTACGCTTTTTTTATTCATAAAAAGTACTTTAATTTGAAAATTAAAAGCTAGTTCTTGTGCAATGTGTATACCGTAATTAATATATATATATATATATATATATATATACACACACACACATAAGGAGAGGAGCGATCAAATACAAATAATTCAAGTTGTACAAATCGTACAAATCATTCTCATCCGTTGATTTCTTATGAAATTGTTTCATATAATATTATTTTGATGAAGTTATTTTATATATATGGTTATGAAATTGTTTCATATAATACTTAATAAAAATTTTAATAAAATCGTTTCATGTATTTCTCTAAAATTAAAATAATGAAAATGATAATATACATGATCACCACTCTTCACAATAAATATGATTAATCAATCTCTCATAATTACAAAAGAAATGAACAAAATGAAAAATTATGATTGGTTGAATAATGTTTGTACGGTTTGTACAAATAACGTGGTTTGCAAAGTAAACCATCTCTATATAGATATACATTTATATATATACATACACACAAAGGTTCATGGGAAAATCTCAAAAAAAATAAAAGAATACTTCATTAACTTTTATATTAGTCGATCCAATCGATGGTATTAAAGAGTCGGTTATAATTTTATTTTAAAATTAAAAAAACTTCATATTTTATTTTTTTAATCAAAAAAATATTAAATATGGCCAAAATTCGAATGAAATAAATTGTATCAAAAATCGATAATATTTCTCGTTAATTTGATATTCATATTCATATACTTTTTCAACAGTTTTTTCATTTATTTAACATTTTTCCATTAATATATATACACACACATACATATATTCATATGAGAATACTAACAAAATAAGATAATAAGAAAATAAACGAATCACATGTAATCACACGACTTTGACCGTAATCCGGGGTCACATGCCACGTCGTCCACACATCCTTACATTAACGTTCTCGTTTTTATTTTTTTGTTACTTTTCTGGTTTGAATATCCCTCTATACACACACATATTCAATACTTTTCATTTAATAAAATATAATATTTTTTTAAATAACTTAATTATTTATTTTAAACATTACTTGTCGAAAGCGTTAGTTTTCTCAATGTAACGCATTAACATAGATGGACAATCACACATGCTCAGCATCTGGAAAATCTACATTCCGGTTTTTATCATTTTTTATAAAATATGAAAACACATAAAATCCTTACAAAAGATAACATTTCAGGTTTTTCGAACACGAGATGATCATTTGGTGCAATATATTTTTATGAGGATGTTTTAGAACTTAAGACTAGATATAATAATTAATCACATTAAATGCATATTATACATATACCTTGACTCTTGTCTTGAAAACAAAGTGGTTGAGGCTTTATAATTAACAAAATTTGATTTTTTGTTGACCATTTTTTTCAATTATGAGTTTTGTCGTAACTGTCAAATTAAATAAATAATATTTTATATAATATTTAAGTATTCTAGATTAAGTTTTGATATAAAAAAAAAATCAGTGTTCTAAAATACTTGTTGCAAGGACTGTGTCATGAGTTAAGACTTGTGTCACTGTCTAACGCACAGTTTTCTAACTCGATATTTGATTTTTTTTTCTACATTGTTAGTTTTTACTCCACCGAACCTAAAATAGACGTGTATTCATATATTATTTGTATCCACTATGAATTAATGTATATTTTTCGTTCCATCCTTAATTATGAAATGCTGAAAATTTATCTATCTGCAATTAAAGGCAAAATTGTCATTTTGTTAATTAAAAGTGTAATAATTACACATTCTAAAAGTGTGTCTTTTTTTATGATAGACATTTATTTTAGAAGGAAACGAGTAAAACATAATATAATTTAAATTGTTTAATATCATTGATTTGTTGATTAATTTATATGTATATATATTTAATATTATATAAAAATTGCCTCAACAAGTCACTTTCTGGAAAACATCATGGCCTCGCTATGACTCCTAAGGCTTGAGGTTTGATCTCACCATCACGCACGATGCTCCTCACGCCATTTAAAACCATACCAACAAGCGATGATATATATCCATTAGATTTTATTCATGATGTTAAGTGCATTATGCATATATCCAATTTTAATTATTTCCAACATAAAATTTATGAATTTCAAATCAGTCAAAACATAATAACTTAGTTAGCTGATATAAAATTGACGACCCTTACACGACATAATTACTATTTTGCATAGTCAAATCAACATCAAAATAATGTAGGTGTTCTAGAATCATAAGTACGTGTTATCCTCTTTGTTCATGCAATTTGTTTAACATATGAATTTGGTGATATGTCTATCATGCATACGAGTTCTATCAATCAGTCAAGTACATATGATGATAAAATCGAATTTTATAGAATATTTGGACAAATATCGAATACCGCCGCTACAATAATATAATCTTTTCTAGACTACCATTTATGAAATGTTTATAACCCACATGATTAATTTGTTTACAAAATATAATGGTTTGTTTATTTTTACAGATGTAATGGTACTGATGTATCATAACGCAAATTTACATGGATTAGAAACTTGTAATATGAATTATTGAGGAGGGACTTTTTCAAGACATGGAGTTTGAGGATAATTTTGATCCTCGTTATGAGGTATAAAATACGGGTTTCAGGTAATTTATTTTTCGTATAAGAAAAATCAAAGAAGGGGCAGGGTATTGTGCGTGAAGTCGTGAAAGTGAAGAAAAAGTAAGAGACATCAAGTGTACAGGAGGAAGAAATCATTGAATCAATGTGTGAATCATCTTGTTCTGTTGATATATCAGTGTTATAAAATGTTAGTCAGTGTTTAAAAGTATAATGGGGGTGAAACAGCAATAACGCTGAAAATGGTGAAATAAAATAGCGTACGAGTGTTGTTGTGAAATAGATAGGGAACAATAATGTGTTGTTTGTAAAATTAATGATTAATCTCCCGTTCACTGAAATATGGTGTGCGTTATGTTGTTTTGGAAATCTTGAGATGTGTATTATAATTTATAAACATTTATGAGAGACATAACTTGAGTTTGGTTCTAAGAGGCTGTTTGTTTGATTCTTAATAGTTCCATTAAGAAGCAAGATATGAATCGTTAAAAGGTGAATCTTTGGCAAAAAAAAATCTATCTCTTAATGTTCTAAAACCTTCTAAATGATTTTGTATCTTGCGTCTCTCTTAACCATTCAACACCCTAATTTCGTTCTGAATAATTATCAAACAATTAGGATAATCTTTCTTAAATATCCAGATCATAAAAAATAAACCCTCATCAGTCATACAAATATCTCAATTAATCGGTTTGTTGGGTTGTAATAATGGTTAAGTTTGCAGATAAAACCACCTCTATATGTACATTATCCTAAAAGGCTCGCGTCAACAACCACCATCGCGCATCGTGGCTCAATGCTTGTGTCACGTTAAGCCTGTGGCACACAATCGCTTAATGTGCATTTTTTGCAACACGATATATAATTTTTCTTACCTTTTCAATTTCTTATTTGTTAGTTTTTAATATATAATTTAATTTAAATTATCATTTACTCATTGAAGTAATAGTAGAAACATATATATATATATATATATATATATATAATATTTTTTATGATATACATATTTGACGCCATAAGTCATAGCCTCGCCGTGACTCCTAAGGATTGAAGTTTTGGTTTTGCTGCTACGCCATGCCATGCCATGCCTCTAACCATTTAAAACATTGTATATGTATGTATGTGTATATATGTTTGTAGAAAAATTGTATTGTACAAACCATACAAACCAATCTTAGCCTCTATCTCATCTAATAAATATATGATTTCATTTGTTTCCAGTAAGAAATTACGTTCATTAATAAACTTTATCATATTCATTATATATATATATATATGAAAGGTTTCAAACGAGAACATCTTTATTTTATGAGAACACAAGAACATCATTTTACTATAGACAATCACATATGATACTATTATTCCATCACATATGATACACATGCGAACCTAAATCAGAGACGGGAACGATTTTCGATGTGATTTTGGTTGCGGGCCAAGTCGCCCTTACACCACTAAATCCCCTCACAAGTATTATCACATATGTTAAGGGTGTTGTTGATATGATACTATAATCCATCAAGACCATCACATGTGATGTTAAATCATAGACGTAGACAACCTTTGATGCAGTCTAAGTCGTAAAACTTGTCATCCGCACATCACAAGGTCCCGTTACGCGTATTATCACATGTGATAAAAGTGTTCTTACGTCCTCATAATATAGAGTTGTTCTCGTTTGAACCTCCACACCTATATATATATATATATATATATATAATCTAGAAGAAACACAAACTTGACAATAATGTATTACTCGAAACTTATTTTCAGAATATTAGATAATTTAATATGATTATATATTTGATTATATTATAATAATAATCGCCTACAACTTAATGGACATAGTTACCGGCTGGGGCCCACGTAAAAAGCGACGCAGGTGGCAATTTGTTGGCGACTCTACTCTCAGAATGCGCGTAACTCTGGTAAATATTATTTATATATACATACATACATACATATATATATATATATATATATATATAAAGGAAAATTCAAACAATTTTGTTTGCAAGTCGACTACAAAAACGCGTTTTTAAATAAAATCCCAAAATTTAAATTATAAATAGTCCAAATTTATAATCATATTATTGAATCTTTTCTTATTGCTTTAAAATATGTATTTCAATAAAATAAGTTTAAGAAAGAATTAAAACCTTTAAATTCACACGGTAGTCCATAAAACCAGTTTAATTTTCAATGAAACAAAAGCT